ATTCCTTTAAAATCGGTGGCTGTAAATTGCTCTTGGTATGAGTGTATATTCATGGTTATTTTATCTGTGTGTCTTTTTGCTGCCTTTGGGATCAACTGGCAACATGTCCAGAGCACAACCTGAGTCTGACTCCACCCACTCATGACCTGGCAAAGATAAGGAGGCATTGACAACACGTGGATGAACACATTTAAGGGTAACTGACACTGCCCGCTGTATCGGATCAATAAACATTTTGTGATCCACTTAAAACCTAACTGATAGCAAAAGTATTTCTGATTCTGATTCTAATAGCTGGCCTTATTCGGTGTCTGGAGTATAAAAACACTTTGCAAAAAGAAAAATTAGATTACGGAGAAACCTTGTTAAAGAGTTTCCCTCTTTTTCAGTGAGACTGCACACTGTCTTTTAATACAATTGATTTTCCGTTAAACTTGCTCAAGTGTAACATCCAATCCTAAAACCTCCTATGTCATTTCATTTGGGTTTTAAACAGTAGACAAAAAAAAGGTTGTAGATAATAGTTAAGAAAAGGGAAAATCTATAAAAAAAAAGACTTTCTTCTTCCAAATCGTCATATTTGCCAAGTACACGACTGATACTTGTCAGTAGATGTTTCCACCTGAGCTTTGGAGCCCAGTCGCTCCTCCAGAGTTACTATTAGCTTCTTGGCTGGACTAGAATATCACCACTATAAACTTTTCTTTTCTTTTTCAGTGAAAAAAAAATGCTAATATTTAATATAGTGGTCTGATCTACGAAGCTCCAACAAAATCTTATGTAATGTGGCAAAGTTTCAAAAAAGGTTTATATATTTTTGCAAGGGATTGTTTTTTCCTGCTAATGATCAGCTAAGACGACTTTGATTAAAACTGGATTTTTTTCGGACCAATCATCATAAGCAATCAAGCTTGAGCGCAAAAAATCTGAATGGTTCTTATTAACAGCCACTTGCTCTCTCATCTGATCACTCACAGAGCAGCTGCAGATGTTTGTCAGATAAGTGGCTCTGATTGCAGTCTCCACATAAGGGTGATTCAGGGAACTGTACGGCAGCACAATGTGGAAAGTGAGGTGACCACACCTGAAGGAAAGGAGGAAAAGATACAACTAAACTGGGATGTTTGGAGTTAATCCTATAATTGTTTCAACTGTTAGACCTATAGAGGAGTGTCAGGGTGTACAGGCCTTACCTATCATAGATCAGGAAATCATCTTTATCACCATCCAGGATCTCCCAAACGTCCGTCCCATTAGCATCCTGCTGATACACAGGGACTTTAGCTGGGGCTCTATTCTTCAATGCCCAGTAATTGGCTCTGGATGAATTTTCTTGCTCATTTATGATCATGAAGGACACCTCTGTGATGTTTCTGCGAGCAAGTTTTGTGCGCAGGCGTCCAATACTGCAGTGGGATAAATCCACGAGTTAAAGCAGAGATTATTTATATACATACATACATATATTTTTTAAACAAATGAATAATCTATAGTCTCAAGAGAAACAACTGTAACAACAAAGAGGGTTATTAAGTTGCCCAAGTAACAACCATGAACGTATATTTTATGTAAATACAAAAGGAATGAGAAAAAAATTATAGTAGTGCTACTTAATAGGTTGCATTGATTTATTTGAACATAAAATCTAAAGCAATGTAAAAATAAGGCTAACTAATTAAGCTGTCTTTTTTGAATGGCATTAATTTCAGCAAATATTTTTTGCAATTTTCCAGGAGTCTCTTTATACTGTACTGTATATATATATATATATATATATATATATATATATATATATATATATATATATATATATATATAT